GGTTCAGGCTGTTCCCTTCTCGTCTCCTGGGTGCCCTGTGCCAGCTGCTCTCTGGCCTGTCCTCTTAGTTTGCACGTGAGATGGGGTGGGTCCTTCAGTGCGGTTTGCCTCACCACCAGGAGGTAGAGAGAAACTCTCCGTGTCTCCACAGAGGAGGAAATTGATGGCCACCCTCAGGTTGCAGAGAGCAGATTATATACTCAAGTGCATATTCCTGGTTGTTCTGTGTCACAGAGTAAAGGTGTGGCTATCACGTAGGGTGCGGAGACAGTTCAGGCTCGTCCTGACTGTAACCTTCATTGACTGTGGGACTGCATGTCACAGCTCGCTAGAAAACATTAGCACATCACTGTGTTCCTAAAGTTGTATTGATAAAATGCATGAAGTTTTAATAAATGGTTTCTGGGTGGGGAGGGGGGAGGGAACATGCCAGCACATGAGGCTGGTGCTATGGTATAGTAGGTTAAGTCTCTACCTGCCATGCCAGCATCCTATATGGGCACCCGTTCAGATCCCAGCTGCTCCACTTTGAATCCAGCTCCCTACTCATGGCCTTGGAGAACAGCAGAAGATGACCCAAGTGCTTGGGCCCTTGCACCCATGTGGGAGACCCAAAGAAGCCCCTGGCTTCCGATTGGCCCAGCTCTGACCAATGTAGCTATTTGGGGAGTGAGCCAGAGAATGGAAGACCAACCTCTCTGTCTTCCCCTCTCTCTGTCTATAACTTTACCTCTCAAATAATTAAATGTTAAGAAAAAGCTAGCAAAAGTCACTGTTGGTGTTTAGTGATAATTGTCCCATGGTTTGTCCCAGAGTAAGAGGATGTCCATTTAATAGGCAAACACAAGGACTCTTATTCCAGTGCAAAAAGAGCAGAGCCAGCTAGCCTTCGGTGCAGTAAGAGGTGTCTCTCACGTAGAGGAGTTTCGTGGCAGAAGGGCTCATCAGACATGGAGGATTTGCAGATACTCAAGGGAAAAGTAGGTGCCTCCCCAGCTTGGGATTCTGCACCTCTGTGACCATAATTGTTATAAAAGTACTTGGGGTCAGCGCTGTGGCATAGCGGTACAGTCACCAACTGCAGTGCCGGCATCCCATATAGGTGCCGGTTAAAAAGCCCAGGCTGCTTCACTTCTGACCCAGCTCTCTGCTATGGCCTGGGAAAGCCGAGTCCTTGGGCCCCTGCACCCGTGTGCAGGAGGACCTGGAAGAAGTTCCTGGCTCCTGGCTGTAGATCCGCACAGCTCCAGCCAGTGTGACCAATTGGAGAGTGAACCTGTGGATGGAAGACCTCTCCCTCCCCCTCTCCTTCTCCCTCCCCCTCTCCCTCCTCCAATTCCTCCCCCTCTCCCTCCCCCTCTCCCTCCACCAATTCTTCGCCCTCTCCTTCCCCCCTCCCTCCCTCTCTCCCTCCCCCTCTCCCTTCCCCCCTCTCCCTCTGTGCAACTCTTTCAAATAAATAAATCTTTTTTTTTTTAAGTACTTACTGTGTTTAGCCCTCTGGGGAGCTTTTCCTTTTGTATTTGGTGTTTTGAGTTTATTTTTGGCAAGAAAATCAAATGATTAAGTAGAGCTCTAACCTGTCTAAGACAAAGGGTAGGGCTTCAGGGAAGAGAGCTGCTTGATGGTGAGGAAATATGTTGACATGTCTATTGCTTGCCTTACTTGTCACCTCGCCGTCCATCAGCTGTTTTGTGCAAAGTTGGCAAATACTAATTATTAAAACATCTGTTCATAGACAGCAGTGTTGGGGTAATTCTGGTCACGTAGTAAATGGAATTTATTTCACAGGCTTATTCATTGTTATTCAGTGTTTCCTTTTATTTTTCACTTTTTATGTATTTAAAAGGCAGAGAGACGAGAGACAGAGAGAGACGAGAGAGAGAGTGTGCGAGAAAGAGCACATGCCTTCTTGTTTCACTTCTAAAATACCTACAACAGCCCTGGGTAGGCCATGCTGGAGCCAGGAACTGGAAACTCAATGTGGTCTCTCCTGTGGGTGGCAGAGACCCAGCCACCTGCTGCCTCCCAGGGCCTGCACCAGCAGGAGGCTGATTGGGTGTGGAACAAGAACTGGAGCCCGGGTGTTCTGACACGAGGTCAGGGCATCCCAAGCAGCATCCCAGCAGGTAGGACACATGCCTGCCCCTGTGCAGTATTTCTGTTCCTTCTTTCCCTCCCTTCCTGTCTTCCTCCCTCCTTCCCTCCTTCCTTCTGATTTGTGGTATGAAAGGCAGAGTGAGAGAAAAGGAGAGAAAGAAAGAGAAGTGTATCTTTCATCCTTTGGTTTACTTCTGCAAATTCCCACAACAGCCAAGCCAAAACCAGGAACCCAGAACTCCACCTGAGTTTCCCATGTGGGCACAGGGACCCAAGTGAGTAGATGACTGAAAGCATCCTCATTTTTTAAATTTTTATTAAATTTTTTAAACATTTCATGTTTTATTTGAAAGGCAGAGAGACAGAGACAGACACATAGAGATCTTCCATCTGCTTGTTGACTACTCTAAAGTCTGCAATAGCTGGGGCTGGACCAGGAGCGGGGAACTCAATTCAGGTTTCCCATGTAGCGGCCAGGGCCCAGCCACTCGAGCCATCATCTGCTGTCTCCTAGGTGGGCATCAGCAGGAAGCTGGGATTGGAGGAGGAGCTGGAACCTGGACTCAGGTATTCTAATATAGGACGTGGCTGCAGCGGCTTAACCACTGCACCAAGGGCCTGCCCCCAGTGTGTTTCTTAAGCTTTAGGTGTCTTCGCATCAGGAAAGGAGTGGCAAGTCCAGACCCAAAATGCAAAGTCATCGTAATCAGTCATTGCTTTCTTTTTCCACTTAATGTGGCCAACTCTTCCCTGGGCTCTTCTGGAGGTTCCTACAGACCACAGAGCCTGAACCCCAGCTACTCTGCTCCAAAGTGGCCCAGACACCCAATGGGGACGATATGGCAGCACCATACTCTGTCTTCCTTTTTTTCACAACCTTGTTCTCTTTCTACCTTTTTATGTGGTAAAGTTTTAGAATTTTTATTGACATTTATTTATTTGAAAGGCAGAGAGACAGAGATTTCCTGGCCACTGATCCTTTCCCCAAATATCTGCAACAGCCAGGGCTGTGCCAGGCTGAAGCCAGGAGCCCCAAACTCAATTTGGGTCTCCTGTGTGGGTCACAGGGATCCAAATATTTGGGCTGTCACTTACTTCCTCCCATGATGTAGGCGAGCAGGAAGCTGGAATTCAAAGTGGAGCCAGGACTCAAATCCAGGCACTCTGATCTGGGCTACCAGCATACCAAGCTGTGTCTTAACTGCTGCACCAAATGTCCAAAACAATGGTGCAACTTCTTTTAAAAAACAAACAAAAAATCTTCCCATTAGCATCAGAGTTGGGGGAGGGGGGAGCAGGTTACAGGTACAGATTCTGAAACTCTGCAGTCTTAAGAGACTGGGTGGCTGCAGCCTCATTTTGAGTATCCATCCCAGTGCAACAGGAGAGAAACAGGACTCATTTAGAAAAATATCAAGCTCCTCACAACTGGACACGTGTCCATTTCTAGCTCCAAACCAATCAGGAGCGAGGAGTGTCAGATCCTAACCGGCAGTGACCCCTGCTGCCCTGGTAGGGACTCCTGAACGTTCAAGCATGCCCAAAATGGCCTCATGTGAACTTTCCGGGGTGATGGTATTGAGCACCATTGCTGTGGTGTGTCGTGTGCAAAAACAGTGAAAGCCAAATCAGCGGTGCCTGTGCAGATCACCTAGCTGGGTGCAACATGGTGTCCTGTGCCCAGGGGTTTGAGCCAGATTGAAGTGCCGTGTGCACTGGGGGAACCTGCATGCCTTCCCACTCCCATGAAAGCACCTGTTCGGCTCCCATAGGACAGCAAGTTGACGGAAGCTCACCCTGCTGTGCTGTGCCTGTGTTGGAGCATGAGCGCCCCATAAACCCTTCTGGGTTGCATACTGGCCCCTTGTCAATTTCTATCTGCAATTGAGCCAAAGACCCTGGGCTTGGTAAGGCCACTGTGATGTACAAATAGTTCCACTTTCTGGAAGCAGGTTTGTGACAATGTTTCAGGATCACCTTTTGCAGCATGGGAGTTAGTCAAAGAAAAAAGACAAAGGCTGTCCCTTGCACTCTTCATTAAAAAAATTTTATATATTTGAAATGCAAAATGAGAGAGAGAGAGAGAGCAGGAAGGAGGAGGGAGGGAGGCAGGGAGGGAGAGAGAGATCTTTCATCCACTGGTTCATTCCCCAAGTGCCCTCAGTAGCAGGGCCGAGTCGGGCTGAAAGCAGGAAATACAGCTGCATCTCCCACGTGGGTGGCAGGAACCCAGCACCTGGGCCTTCCCCTGCTGCTTCTCATGCACATCGCAGGAAACTGAATGCAAGTGCAGACGGACACCGCACGCAGGGGCTCCAGCCACCGCGCTGGCACATCGCCTGCCCGTGTTCTCCACCTCCTTTCAGGCTCGGGACCTTCCACGTCTCACCTGTCGACAGGTGTGCTGGCCTGCCAGGTATGTAGCCTGCTTCCTCGCCACCCCCCCCCCTCCAGCACCAGGTGAACACCACGCTCCCCATCAGCAGCTTCCTGCCTGACTCGCAGGCACACACCTGTCCTTTCCCAAGGTCCTCCTGGGGGGACGTCAAGCACACACCTGTGGGGCCTGTAGAATCAAGCTTTTTTTTTTTTTTCCTTGAATTTTTATTTTTTTAAAGGTTTACTTGAAAGTCAGTTACCGAGAGAGTCGAGCTTATTTTTTAAAACTAGAGGCTTACCTGAACATCTTGCTCCCCCAAGCACAGAACCTAACAATTCCCATGCTCTCTCTAATCTGGTCTTCTACTATTTTGTTGGTTGCCCCAATCAATTAACACATTTCCACATAGAGCTTAAGAAACCTTGTGCCCACCCCCACCCCCCATTGAAATATTAAGGAATTCAGCTGTAAAAGCTTCCTGGCCCAGGATTTGGGGGGGGGTGTCGAGGTTTCTTTCATTTTTAAAAAAATATTATTTATTTATTTGAGTGCTAGTTAGAGAGAGAGGGAAAGACAGAGAGAAAGGTCTTCCATCAGCTGGTTCACTCCCCAGATGGCCAGAGCTGGGCCAATCAGAAGCCAGGAGCTTCTTCTGGGTGCAGGGACAGAGCCTTCCAAGTGAGAACTCTGGTGGCTGCTTCAGTCACAGGAGCTGCAGACCCCGGCCCACTCAGAGGACGGGGTCGTGCACACTTCCGCTAAGACAAGCAAGCCCCGCACAGAGACCTGGGGAGCGCGGCCCGCTGGACGCTGGGGGTGGACAGCCCAGCAGGCCCCGCGCGCTCCCGGCGGGGAGGCCAGCCCAGGTCCCCAAGCCCCCGGGCGCCCCGCGGCCCAGGAAGCGAGCCGCGCGCCAGGACCGCGGGACCCCACGCCCCTCCCCGCCGCACGGCGGCGCTGCGCAAGGCCGGCCGTTGTCCGGGGCCGTTGGGCGCCCACGTGGCTTCTGGACGCCTGGAGGCCGGCGCGGGGGCGGGCGCCATTACGAGAGGCCGGGGGCGCGGGGTGGAGCCGACGAGGAGCCCAGAGCGCGCCCGCGGCGGCGGCGTCGGGTGGGAAGACGAGGCGCGGCACTGGGGGGCGTGGCGGCCGGCCTGCAGGCGGGGGCGCGTCCAGGGCAGGAAGCTGGAGTCCCCGTGGAGCTGGTGGGCGCGGCCCCCGCAGAGGCCTGAGGCGTCCGGCGCGATGGCAGGGGCCGCCCCCGGGGCGGCGGCAGGGGCCGCGCGGCTCGCCACGCCCGCCACGCCCGCCACGCCCGCCGCCGGGCGCGTCGTCCAGGGCGAGCGGGCCAGAGGCGCGGCGAAGATGCTCCAGGTCCTGGTGCTCCAGGTGAGCGAGCGGCCCGCGCACGGACGGTCGGGCCCGGGTCGGTGCAGGCGGGAGGCTGGAGTGCGGGTGGGGGTCGCTTCAGAAGGGGGCGCGTGCGCTGTTCCCGACGACCCCGGAGGGCGGTTGCTGCGAGCTGTCTCGCACTAGGTGTGCGTGCCTGACTCGGGCACGTTGGCAGGTGTGTCGGTGCCCCGCACACCCCAGCCCACGTCCGCCCTAGGTTAGGGCCCTCGCGGGGAGCCGTGGACCTGGCTCCCGCCCTTCCCCCGCCGCCCGCAGCCCTCAGGGCTCGGCTTCTGGGACCCCCCCGCCCCCCCCCACGCCGCCCTCTCCTCACGCGGGTGTCCTGGTCCCCGGGGCGGGCATGGGCCGCCACCTTGGAGACTTGAGGTGCCGGGAGGGCTCCCGAGGAAGCCGGAGGGGAGGCGCTGGAGGAGGGAGTTTACAAACCGGAGCCAGGGTGTGGGATGGGGAGGGGCGCCGCGAAGGAGGGGGATGGGTGGTGTCTGTGTTCTGTGGGTTCACCCGACCAGAGCGTCACACACCCCCGAAGCCGCTGACTCCTTGCAAGGAGGCCTGGCTCTCAGACTTTTCAATTTGTTTTATTTATTTGACAGAGTTAGAGACAGTGAGAGACACAGACAGACAGACAGAAAGGTCTTCCTTCCGTTGGTTCACTCCCCACCCCCAAGTGGCCGCCATGGTCGTCGCGCTGTGCTGATTGAAACCAGGAGCCAGGTGCTTCCTCCTGGTCTCCCATGCGGGTGCAGGGCCCAAGCACTTGGGCCATCCTCCACTGCCCTCCCGGGCCACAGCAGAGAGCTGGACTAGAAGAGGAGCAACTGGGACTAGAACCCGGCGCCCATATGGTTCGCTGGCGCCCCAGGCAGAGGATGAACCAAGTGAGCCATGGGGTCGGCCTCGGCTCTCAGACTTTGAAGGGATTTCAGGTCTCCCTGGGAGGCTCCTCTGCACTAGTCAATGTTCTCCATCAGTCCTAAATATGTCAGTCCCAATTCCTTCCTGTGAAAGGGCTCTCACCCATCCTGCCACGTGCACGCCCGTGGGTGCAGGACTTGGGCAAGAAGTGCTGGGCTCGTGCCCTCCTGCTTGGGAGCCCGTCTGTGTGTTGGGCCCTGGAACCTGCTTATGTCTCCCCTCAGCTCTGCCCGGCCTCCACTTATGACTCCGACCTGGCTCACCCTTGGAGCAAATCTTCTGTCCCTTATAGGAGTATGTGCCCCAGTGAGGTCCAGGTTCCGGCTGTCCTGATCCAGATTGATGTGGCATTTCCATGGATACGGTGCCCCCTCCCACCCTGTGCCCATCAACAGGTGATGGGGTACCCTCAGGGTGGTGTGCATGGAGGATGGGAAATTATTTAGCTTTCACATTGTTTAGTTTTGAGGTGTCCTCTTACACATGAGGATGTCATATGAAGTGAGGTGAGCCAAGCAGAAAGGCCCACGTGCTGTATGATTCTGTGGGCGAGTTGAATGGCAGCTGCCAGAGGTTGGGTTTGTGCGTACAGGGCAGATTCAGTTTTGCAAGGTGAGGAATTCTGGAGATGGCTGGTGCTCATGGTTGCACAACAGTGCCAGTCTACGTAATGCTACTGAACTGTACACTTAAAATTGCCCAAAAGGATGAATTTTATCTGGAGTTTGCCACGACTTTTTAAAAAGATTAACTTATTTGAAGAACAGAATGACAGAGACCAACAGAGAGGGAGGTCTTCCATCCACTGGTTCATTCCTCAAATGGCCGCAACAGCCAGATCTGGCAGAGTCTGAAGCCAGGAACCAGGAGCTCCATCCGGGCCTATCATGTGGGTGGCAGGGGACCAAGCACTGGGACCCCGAGGCACATTCCCAGGGAGCTGGATCAGAAGTGGAACAGGTGGGACTCAAACTGGTTCTTGGTGGTCATGAGACAGGAACCCGGCAGAGAAGAGAAGCAGCGACCCAGAAGACAGCGGCCTCCCTGGGTGACGCAGACAGAGGCGAGAGCTGTACCTGGAGAGCCGCATCACCAGGAGCCCTGTAGCAGGGCAGCTGTGCTGTTCCTGAAGAGTCCGGCCTGCAGGAGACTCTGCCACATCTGGCGGGGTGAGACCTCTCCTGGCTAAGGAGGGCAGAGAAGAGCTGTTGGCTGCCAGGAATGTGAGGAGGGCTCGCACGCCCCAGCTGGTTAGGTGCCGCGTGTGATGTCTGCATCGCACCTCAGGGTGCCTGTTCAGATCTGACCGCTCAGCTTCTGGTCCAGCTTCCTGTGTGCTCACATGGGAAGGCAGCGTATGATGGCCCAAGGACTTTGACCCCTGCCCCTGTGTAGGAGGTCAGAGTGGAGTTCCTTCCCTCCTCCCAGACTTGGCTGTTGTGGGCATTTGGGGAGTGAACCAGCAGATGGAAGAGCTCTCTCCCCATCCCCCACCTTGCTCTTGCTGTCCATCTCTCTCTGTCACTCTGCTTTTCAAATACATAAGTACACACAGCATATATGAGGAAAGCAGCCCGGGCCACACACTTCTGTGTTTGAAATCTGGGAGGCCGTAGCACCCTGATGGCTGGGCACGTGGCCTTGGAGAGTGGCAGAAAGCAGTAGTCCTCGGCCTTCCCTGGGAAGCTCCTGGAGGAACTGGCAACTAGAACTATGTGTGTTGCTGTCTGGAAAAACTGGGCCTGGCTTGCATTTTACAGGTTTTAGGAGCAGATTTTTTTTAATGAAACATTCTAGCAGCCTCAGCATTTAACATTAAAAAAATTATTTATGTATTTTCATTGGGAAAACAGGTCAGCAGAGTTCTTCCATCTGCTGGTTTACTCCAGAATGCCCACAGCAGCCAGGGCTGGGCCAGGCCAAAGCTGGGAGCCTAGAGCTCAGTCCTGGTCTCCCACGTGGGTGACAGCGCCACAGTGCTTGAGCCATCATCTGCTGCCTGACCAGTAGGCACGTTGGCAGGAAGCTGGATTGGTGGTTGTGTGGCCTTGATGTGAACCAGGCACTCTGAGTATCCCAAGCCGTGACCTGACTGCTGCCCCAAACGCCCACCCCTAAGAATGCTTTGTAAACGTCTTTCCTAAATTACTCTTTGGAAAATTTTCAAACACAAAACAGCATCATGAATGCCTGTGTGTACTACACCCACACTAACTGGTTGGTAACGCTTTGCTGCGTTTGCACTTCAGAAATATGTGTATGTAAAAATTACTTTTTCTTTTTTGGTTGAGCCATTTGAGAATGAGTCTAGAACTCAGAGCACTTAAGTGATTTTTCTAGGAACAAAGACTTCCTCTTATAGAACTATAATGTAATCATCACACTTGAGAAATTTAATGTTGGTGCAAGTCTGTTACCTGATACACAGTCTGTACTCCCTTTGTCCTGATAAGGTCTACTGTAGCTTGTTTTTTCTGATAAAGAACCCAGAACTACACACTGCATTTAATTGTCATGGCCTTGTAGAGTTCATTCAGGCAGTACATTGGTCTATCTTTGATGATACTGAAATTTCTGAAGAATAAGGGCAGTCACTTTGCAAAGTATTCCTCAATAATTATAACTATATTAATATATTTAGGTTAGACACTTTTAGTAAAAATGCTACATAAGTTATGCCACGTCAGAGGACAAGATGTTTTAAAGAAAAATGATGCTGGGGCCAGCATTGTGGTATAGCAAGGTAAGCTACCACCTGTGATGTCAGGACCCCATATGGGCACCTGTTCAAATCTCATCTGCTCCACTTAAGATCTAGCTCCCTGCTAATGTGCCTGGGAAAGCAACAGAAGATGACACAAGTGCTTGGGCCTCTGCCACCCATGTGGGAGACCCAGATGAAGCTCTTGGCTTCAGCCTGGTCCAGCCCTGGTCATTGCAACCATTTGGGGAGTGAATTGGTGGGTGGAAGATCTCTCTCTGTCTCCCTCACTGCCTCCCTCCCTCTCTAACTCTGCGTTTGAAATAGATAAGTAAATCTTTTTTAAAAATTCAGATTAATTTAAAAATTTTAACTTTTTATTAGAAAATACATTGGAGATGCAGAAAAGTTTGGAAAATAGTATCGATATTGGGACACCTACCAAACTCTTATTTATTTGAAAGGTAGAGACACAAGGAGAGACAGAACTCTCCCATCCCTTTGTTCGCACCCCAGATGCCCACAGTAGCCAAGGCTGGGCCAGGCCAAAGCTTGGAGCTGGGAACTCAACCTGAGTCCCCCACACTGAGGACAGGGACCCAGTCACTCAAGCCATGGTCAAGAGGCCTCCTAGAGTGTGCACTGATTGGCAGCAAGTTGGAATCTGCATCAGAATGTGGACGGAAACCTAAGCACTCCCATGTGGATTGCAGACCCGGCCTGAGGATTCACTGCTATGACAAAAGCCCACCCCTATTTTTTAATTGATGTATAATTTATTTACAGAAAAATTCATTCCTTTTTGTGTAGACTTCTGTATTTTGAAAAATGCATAGCATCGTGAAATCACCCCAACAGTCAAAATGCAGAAGCATTTCCTCACTGCCCCATATTCCCATGATGAAGCTCCTTTGTAGCTGTATCTTTCTCTACCTGTAATGCTTTATAAAGAAGATTGTTTTCTGCTGCTATTAGTTTTTCTTTTCTAGAATGTCACAGAAATGGGTGCCTGCAGAATCCCAGAGCAGTAGTGGCCGTCACTGTGGCTTCTTCAAAGACGACACATTGGATACTGCTTTGTGTTGCTGCATAGGGTCAGTGGCAGAGTAGTATTCCGTTGTGTGCACACACAACAGTTTATACTCACAGGCCACTTGAGTTGTTTCAGTTTAGGGAGATGATGAACAACACTGCTATAATCTTTGCCTACAGGTAGTTGTATGGACTCGAGTTCATTTCATTTGGGAGAATAACTAGGATGGAATTGCTTGTGTTTTAACTTTATGAGAAACTGATGGACTGTGTGCCAGCATAACTGCCTTTTTGCATTCCTGTCAAAAATGTCTGAGTTCCCTTTTTC